AAAGCTGAGTCGGACAACATTGTTAACCTTCTGTGGCTTGCTCCTGACTTGATTCCTCGCTCCTCTCCGCCTTTGCTCTTATTCTTAGAAATCAAGTTGTAAAAGACTCAGCAGCCAAACAAGCAGAATATTATATTGTGGAACAGGGTGACTGTAAAAAGCTCTTTGTGCTGACGATTAATTTCACATGTAAACACTTGCATTTTGTTGCCAGCGAGGAGATTTCCTTTTCCTTTCTCTGCCTGGTTGAAATCTAGAAATAAAATTCCACAGCTGTCAGGTTCCCACATAGTCATCAGCGGCCTCTCAAGATGGCTTCACAGGGAGCAGAGTGGATTTGGAGGATTCCACTGTAAAACACTACACAGCTTGTTTCAAGCATCCCAACTCACAAAGTCAAGAATTACAAATCCTTTGCCTGCCTGACATGTCATGTTGGGCATTAACGTAACCTGCTGCATAATATTAATAAAATGTGGACATTTTCTTTACCATTAGTAAACATATGCACCGGAAGCAGAGTTAATGCCAACGGGCTTAACCAGTTTGTGAGCTGTGAACCCCAATTGTTTCTTCCATTTCCACAGGTTAAGAACATGGACAAACTGAGAGTGTCAGCAGGTGTAACATAGCAATGGCCTAAAAATCTACCCTTCCTTTTCCAGCAGGAGGGCATTTATGGTTGAGGCCAGGTGTTTGCACTGTGTTTTCTGTGATTATCCAGCTCGTGCGTGCGTACGTGTGTGTGTGTGCATGCGTGCGTGTGTGTGTGTGTGTGTGTGTGTGTGTGTATTTAAATTAGGTCGCTGCATGTTTCACTTAGTTCTCAAACCAGAATGTTTGCCAACTTAGGGGCCAACTAACACTCATTCTCCTTTCCAGAATGTGCAGAGTGAACAATATCTGAATGACCCAGTGTTCTGCATGTTTAGCTTTTTGTCTTCTCGTTGCAATGCATTTCTCCCACTGTGTACTTCATCTCCAGGCAGCATTCACGGGCTTAGGCAGATCTCTAAGACTGGGTCTCTAGAGAGACAGCTCAGTGCATCATCTTTTGGCACCATCTACTCTTTGATGTAATGCTGTTCAGAGAAAATGATCCTTGTAACTCATTTATGGTTTCAGTTTACAGTCTGCCCTCTCACGTGACCAGCAACACCTGGGAGCAGACTGGCTTTTGAGGGAGATTCTTATAGCACCACTTCAAAAGATATCTGCAGAAATGAAGAGCACGTATGTGCACAGCAATTCTTCTTGTATTACAGCACTAGGTTTCACAACCTCCTAGCCAACTAGGCAGAACAGAACACATATACATGCAGACACATACACACTGTTTAATTGGCAGAGATTATGGAATATACTTCTTTGTGCTCAAAGAATTAATTATGCAGGGTGAACACCTGCTGCTCTAGTCTGCTCTCCTAATTGCAAGGGGTGGGCACCTATCCTTGGTAAGTCATAAAAGGGCCATTCCTTAAGCACATAGAACCCCACCAAGGATAGACAATAATATAATTATGGTCGTTAACAACCAAGCCATGCCACATCTTCAAAGCAGCTTTCTGAAAAGGTACGTTAACGAATGCAGTAAGCAGCACATGTCTATGATATACTTAGGCTCCGAATAAAGCATGACCCTGCCTTTGAGGATCATGCTCATATAACAGTCTTCCCAAAGAAATATTGATAAAGACAGTAAATGAACAGAGGAAAATACAAATTTAGAAACAGGTAATAGATATAATTCAAAATTTGCATGCAGTTTGCTGAAAGTGATAGGAAGCATGTCAGTTAGATTGATTCTGGATATGGGCCATACTGTTGGAACATAAATAGCAAGTTTTGAAATGAAAAGCTTGAGAAACTTAAAAAAAAAAAAGAATCTGAGTGGTAATCTAGTTGGCATTTTGTGGGAGAGACCTTGCAGGAGTGGTCTCTGATTTCCTGCACATTTTGTTTTTCTACTTTGGATACCAAGTGATAATCATTGGCAAGCTAATTGCTTTATAGACTTAAAAAGTGAAGTTATTTTTCACGATGCATTGCCCTGTGAATAAAACAAGCCTTGAAAGAAGAAAGATTAAAAAGCAAAAACCATGAGCATTTTATTCTCAACTTGTATACAGTGATAATTGAAACTCAAGTGCCCTACCATCAAATACAAATAGTACATCAAATAGTACATTTTTTCCATAAAACTATATTTAAATATATAGTGGGTTAAAATATACTTGAAAGCCAAAATCTGGCTTTACCTCAGAGTTGCTCATGGGTATCTAAATGCATAGCTATCATGATTAGTGTTTTTAAACCAATGTGATTCTTCATGTCAGTTCTGTTGTTTCTAAACCTAGTCATCAGTGAGATAACTAGCATTATAGAAAAAGGCACAGCAACTGACATTCAATGAGCGTAAACTTTGACCTTCCCCAGAATTTATGGAAAACCTTTACATGTTCTCCAATTTAAAACAGTAAAATATTTCCTTCCACTATATTTTCACAAACACTCATGCTTTCTTAATTGCTGTGAGTATAACTTGCTTCCCAGATTTGTAACATTTTAAAGAGCAGTGTCCTCAGGATTTTGAAGATATTTTATACTTTTTTTTTTTTTTTTTTTTTTTTAGCGGCGGGTGTAGGGACCGGGGATGGAACCCAGGACCTTGCGCATGCTAAGCTACCGCTGAGCTACACCCTCCCCTTGAAGATATTTTATACTTTTTAATACTCATGTTCCTGAGTTCATTGGCAAAAAGTCCTTGGCTGTTTTTCTTCAAAAAAGTAAAGTTCTTAGAAAAAAATTGTAATAGTAAGTAAAACAATTTCTGAGAGACAAGCTGTTTTTCCCTAAAATCAGACTTGGGTGGCTTCAGTATTGATGCTTTGGACCTAGAAGTTAAATGCTGACATAGTGTCATTTTGTTAAAATGGAATATCACACACACACAAAAAGAATACCACAGAAAAGCACAAGAACACAGACATAACATTTACTTGATTTTGCTTTTCATTCTGTCCATGTGCCTACTAAATTTCTACATGTATTTTTATCAATTCTGATTTACAGTGGAACTTTATTTCTTGCTAATATGGGTAATGTTTTAAATTATACTTAAAACATACCTTTAAAAGCAATAATGTAGAGATGTCATTTTACATCTATTTATATTAAGTGAATTTACAGTGGATCCCAATTTGGGGTCTCCTAAAATTGCCCAAAGTGGGATTTTGTGTGCTGTGACTTTCTTTTCATCCTTAGAAAAAGATTTCTTAGATTGTAGTTTTGTTTTCTTCATCCATTCCTGGTTAAAGGGAATGTCAAGGGTGACTGTCCCAAACAGGCAGATGGTGGAATTCTCCTGGAAAGAGCTGAGCAGAGGAGAGGAAGACCAAGCGAGAGTAAGGAGGTTGGGGTTGGGTGACCCGTGTGGCCCAGAACGCAGACCCAGGCCAAAGCCAGAAAATAGGTACTGTCCTTGCAGGATGAGCCCTCAAACATTTAAGACTTACTTGTGTGGTGGCTGGGGACCGGTGTAATGTTGAAAGTGGGGTGGTAGGCAATTTGCATTCTGGGGTAATTCGAGGGCACTTGGGATTGTGGGAAGAACTGAAATTTAGAACCTGGAAACCTGGCTTGAGTTTGAGGCCTGTCCTACACAGTGTGACTTTGGGCAAGTCGGGTGACCTTTCTGAGTTTCAGTTTCCTCTTCTCTGTAATGATAAGACCTATTCACAGGCTTATCATCAGGATAAAGTTGGTAATATAGGCAAAACGGCTCTGTAAACTGGGGTGTGCCCTGAGCGCTACCAGGACTGAGTACAGATGCTTTCTGTCAGGCTATCCCCACAGAGCCAGCACAGCCATCCCTATTTCCCCCTCAGGCCCCACCAAGTGATTGACTCAGACATTGGGAACGTGCAGGTAGCCTGGTGATTAGGTGGCCACATCTAGTGCTTCCCGCAACAGAAGAAGACAGATAAGTCTGTTTGTTAACCTATTAATGAGATGTGATTCTTATTATTACTTATTCAATGTGAAGCTTATTTACAGCATTCAGAGGATCAGATCTGGAGGGAATCTTATCTAATTTCCTCCCCTCCTTTCAAGCAGGGCTGTATCAAATGTAAATTAGCCCTGACAGATGGTCGTTGGATTCGGTTTCTAAATTTCTTAAAGAAGATTTCACAGTTTTCCTCTCTAAATTCTTTTAGTAATTTAACAGTTCTTGTGCCAAGCTCTTCCTTATAGCTGACCTAAATCTGTACTTGTAATTTAAGTCCTTACCCCCACTCCTGTCTTTACAGAGATGGAGAACAGCTGGTCAGCAACCTTCCTATGATAATAACCCTTTTTAGATCGAAAGAATTGGACTCACTCTGTCCACCTCGTCCCTCCCCTGCCCCACCCCCACATTCATGAGCCAAGGATCACCCTGCCCCACCCCTCTCTGTCCCCTGGCTTCTTCCCAGCAATTGGGCAGAGTGTTGTCCGTGGACACGTGGATCTGGGGAGAAAGCACATCCTTCTTCCTTTCCTTCTTATGCTTTGTGCATAATCTCGAGCCCTCTCATAAAGGATCAGGATAACCCTTACTAGTGTTCGGTGGGTACTTGGCACATTTATCTCATAAAAATGGAGTTTTGCAAGGATACTTATCACAGGACACTTTGAAAATTAGGCCTCTCCAGTGCCTTCGTTTGCTCAGCCAGTCGAGCTGTGAAGCTGTCACTTTGCCTGCTGAAGGTAACATTGAGTGATATCTGCTCGATTGGACTTAGTCTTGGAAGACATTGAGTGAAAACTCTCTGGAGTGCAGTGTACGTTCAGAAGCACCCTGACAGTCTGAAAGAGCTGAGGGGCTTCCCCAGCGCTCAAAGTTGCAACTGGGAAATAAGTGACCATTTTGGGGAATTGAGCTCATTAAGCTGATCCCATGTGGTTTCAGAGAGGCTCCTGTTTTTAATCTGAATGTGTGTGCTTTTCTCTCTCTACAGGTTTATTACCCAGAGCTTTCTGTCTGGGTCAGTCAAGAACCATTTCCAAACAAGGAAATGGAGGGAAGACTTCCTAAGGTAAGTTCTCTAGCTGACATTTTGTTAAGATTTTTTTCAATTTAGAAACAATTTTTTTTTAAAAAGAGTTACTACTTTTTCATTTTAATACTCATTATCGTCTACTATAATAATCCCTTAACCTGATACTGTTATGACCTTGGCAATAACATATGCTACAAAAAAGAAAAAGAGTATTCTAAAGTCCTGTGACTCTTAACAGCTTGTATTATCTTCCTTTCTTAACAAGTCCAAAGTTCAAAGCAAATTTTCATTTAAGAATTATGGAACCAATTTACCAAATGTACATTTTGCAGGTTTTTGATTTGCTCCATTCCTAGGTAGATAAACTCAAATATGATGATCAAACTAAAAGATATCTTAAAAGTATAAGATAAGGACAGTTTTGTCTGGTAATAATACCTGAATGTCTGTTAAGATTACCCATGAACCAAAACAGAAAAAACTTAAAAAAAAAAGTACTGTATTTTTTTTCTTCTAACTTTTAGGCCTAAAAATATTTTCTACAGGCTTTCATTGTTCTGATATCTTAAGTGTGACAAATCTCTGCCTGAAGAAAATTTGTAAAATTTACATTTTAGGTTTTAGCAACATTAAAAAAAAAAAAACCAACAAAAACATTTACCAGTCTTTCCTGTAGATACCTTTGGACTTTCTCTGTAAGGGTAAATATCAATTTGACCTTAAGCAGGAGGACTGTACTTTTTACCACTGACTTACTGATTTTGGAATTAATAAAAAAAGAGTCCTTTGAAAATAAAATTTCCATTTAAAAAGTTGCACAAGTGTAATTGACCAATGGAGAGGACTCCCCAACTATTACTGTCATTTCAATTTTGAGAAACTCTCTTATTTACCCCTAATGGTTTTAGCAATTCCCTGTCTTCTACTGACAGGCAACATTAAAAGAGATTATGCCAACTGGCAGTTTGCACTGAAAGAAAACAATGCTAAATCACCTTTAATCTTTCAGAGAATTCCTGAAGGTCAAGGTCGAAATCATTGGCAGGAAAGTAGGTGAACAAAATGATTTGGGCCCTGCCTGAGCTAGACTTGTTCTGGCCTCATAGTATTGGAGTGGAAGTGAACTAAAATACTGGAACTTTACTTAAAAGACACCCACACCCCACCACCTCACCACCCACCATACCACCAGCAAGCAGAGTGTAGTCTACACATTCTTTGCTCGGCCACCTCAGGGCATAACTCCCCTGGGTAGCTGAGGGTATGATGTGATTCTGGAAGGGAGAGTATAGTCTTTTCATTAGTTCTTGCGCCATTCAGGCATCCAGAGGTCCTCTCTTTGATACTGGTGGCCTCAACCAGAAGGGCAAGACTGGGTAAGTTCTTTAGTGAGGTCAACAGGGCCTCCCTTTCTTCTTGGAAGGCCAGGCTGGGTCCCCAGGCCTTGCTTGCACTGAGGTAGGCTCCAGGAGACTGGCACAGAGGATCCTGGGATTCAGGTCTTCTGCTATTTTAAGTTCTTTCCTCTCTAAATATATGAAAAATATTTTAAGCATAACTTATTTGTGCTTTTTCTAGCTGTTACCTTCTGGAAAAGCACATCTTTGCATAATCATACGGAAAATAATTTTGACTTACTTGGTCCAAAGCACATTACTGAGTAACCAGAGGTTTCATATACTAACAGTCATCAGCAGAGAGGGCCGTCCAACCAGAGGTAGATCAGCTTGGGGGACATCCAGGAAAACAGTCTGCAGAGCCACTGGCCACATCTCTGCCCGCTCCACCAGCCTTCTTGATTACTCAAGTTCCTCAGTCCTATAGGGACCATTATATGCTAGATGATGGAGGAAGACAGGACAATTTTTGTATGAATTCTTGCAAGGCCTGACATGTGGAGAATAACACATCTTTGTGTCTCCTCTTTAAGATACCTCCTAGCCTTGCTGCGGAAACTTAAAATTCCTTTAAAGGGGAAGGAAAGACTTTTGTTTTAAAATGAGGGACAGGAGGTAAGGACTGAAATCTAGTAAATTCCAGCCTCCAAGGGGATGTACAGAACTTTATCTCCCCAGGAGCTCCCCAGGGCACCTCCTAGCAGACCTCCCTGCAAGGTTTCCCACCACTGCCTTGCCATCGTCCTGTTACTTGGATGTCTCCCATACAGCAAGTTAATTAAGGTCAGGCCGGACAGGGCTGGCTCTTGTCTTTGTTGACTTAAAATCTAGCAGAGTGCTCGATCCAAGGCACTCAGAACATGAATAATGAAGGGAAGACATGTGCAAATATTTGGGGGCCTCAAAAGAGAGAAAAATAATAATAAAAATGGTAAATGCAAATCTGAAATACCTCCACATTTTTTTTTTCTGGAAGGACTTCTTTTCAAATTACCCAGATCCCACCCAGCTCTTTATTTCATTTTGTTGTGTATTTTTTTACGGAGATAAGAGATTAGTAAGACCGAGATAGGGACTGACTAATGTTCTGTATACTCACTTAAGAATAAGTCTGAAGTAGGCAGTTTTAAGGCCAGCCATGCAAAGAGTATAGTTGTTGAGTGAAACGTTAAGAACTTACGATTTCCCTTTCCAGGCCTATGACAGTTAGCAGTCATTGAATTCTCCTTTGTCCAAAACTTAAGTTTGTCCTGTTCCTTAACTATGATGCTAACTGGTTGACAGGGGAGGAGGAACAAACATTATTTTAAAGACACCCAGATTACAGTGAATTTCTTTTTTTAAATATTGGGATTGCAGGCTAAAATTTCAAGATTGAAATTGTTTTCACAAATAACAGGAACTGCCCAATATGATGCTTTTGGAAATTTATCTAGATCTTTAAATGTGTGTAAGTGATGAATTTTATTTTAATTTAATTCTCTGGTTTGGTCCTATTGGTATTTAATGGCACCAAAACAACCTCTAAATCACAAAGTAAAACTGGAGCATTAATCTAAATACTGAGTGGATTTTATATACATTCTAGAAATGTATGATCTCAAAGTCCAAGATTTTTAAAAACAAAATTTAGGTACACCAGATAGATGTTCAATATGGGAAAATCTGTACAGTAAATAAGACTTCTTAAAGTTGAATTATCTGTTATATTTGGTTCACTCTGGGGCTACTGAAAACAGTTTTCTGGTTTCAAGTTGTTTGGAAGTTCCTGACTTCTGAATTCTTAAAAATATTCAAATGCAATAATTTGCAGATCACAGATTATCACTTTAACCCAAGTACTTATATCCAGTCAAATTGGCTTATTACCACTATCCTGTTAGAACATGTGGCCTGAGCAAAAAAGAAAAAAAAAACTCAGCAGACTTTTAAAACCATGAGGGATCTTTTTTTTCAAGAATACTCCAGTAATTAATGGTTTGGCTAAAAGAGACTCTTGTCAAATATTCACTGTTTTCATATCTGAGTGGGGTATAAAATCTAGCTGTGATAAGACCTTTGTTTTCTGTCATTGTCCTGTCCGCTTGCTGTTTGGTTGTGACGGAGAGCTTCTCCCTATGGGTGCTCAATGGCTTATCAGTCACGTCACGTTTGGATTCTCCTAGTCAGAAACACAAAAACCACACTCATCAAAATTGTGAGGAGGGACTAGAATACCCTGTCAGCCCAAGCTAGCTGAATCTCCCGTTCTCCTGGGCTTCCTCACTATCTCCTCTTTTCTGCAATCACTGCCTGCCTCCCCAGTTCCAGCCCACATGATTTCCCTCCCAAACACTCCCCGGCCTTTGGTGCCCACTTCTGATCCTTCCTGTAAGGCTCTCTGGACTGTTTGTCAGTCGATTCTAAAATAAACCATACATATGTTACGCTGGTGCAGTTGTGACATGCTTTAAACATTTTTACTATGTATTAGAAGACAGTTATCCCCCTTCCACCACAGCCATTGAACTCTTTTAAAAAAAAATATGTTAGTACTCCTACGAGCACCTCCCACCCAGCCTCCTGTCGGGCCCTGTCTGATACTAGAAACTGTCTTCAGAAACCTGACTCTGGGGAATGCTGCCTCCTCCATGGTGGGGCCCAGCCTTTGGAGAAGCACTTGATTCTACTAAAGCCAAGGCGGCTAGTGTTTAATTACTTCATGCCCCCACAGACCTAATGTTTACATTCAGGTGAACTGTGTTTAATATGTAAACTCTGCAGAACATGGGGAGTTCAAGGATAAAAGGCGGGAGGGAGAAGCAAAAATTTTCCAGTGGTTTTAGAGGCATGACTCAATGTGTCTCTTTTGTGTGTGTATGTCCGTCTGTCCCTGTGCTCCTCAGGGAAGACTTCCTGTCCCAAAGGAAGTGAACCGCAAGAAGAATGGAGAGACCGAGGCTGCCTCCCTGACTCCACTTGGTGGCAATGAGCTCCAGTCCCCAGGAATCAGTTACCTCCACTCTTTTTAATCACCTCCATTTGTATTACATATGGTGTATGGGTATTGATGAGGTCATGGTATCATATATGGGATTTTTTTCTGTGTAAATCATCAAGTATAAGAAGAAACTATGGGACTCTGAGCCTTGCTTTAGAGAATTTACAGTGGACAAATAGGTATCATCAAACCAGTTTTTAATCATTCTGACTCCAGTGAAAACCGCTCAGAATTTCACACTGTGAATCCACGTTTACAACCCTTACAGGTGGGCCTTCAGGCCTGGTTCGCTACAACGTCTTCCACAACTCAAACTCCCACCGCTCTCACACGACCGGTCCACTTCTGCCTTTTCACTCACACAGCTCCCGACTGCTTCTTGCAGAGGCTGAGAGTCCCCATTTTTTTTTTTTTCATTTAGATGTAACAAGCCTAGTAGTTTACGTTCATCAATTGTCTGTATATCTCTATATTTTATCCATGTACTCTTTTGATGTATAGAAGTAGTTTGAAACTCATTGTTTCCTTGTGGTAAGTGACCGAGATGCTGCCACAGGACCTGAGACACTGATGAATGGTGCTATTTTGGACTTTCAACATGCTCCTTGGCGAGGTAGCTCTGATGGAGTTATTTTTTATTTTCATGTTCTAAGAAGGTGTTGGTACTCTGTTTCCCTGGATGTTGTTCTCTAGACTGGATTGACTTGTTTTCCTTGTGTCTTCAGTGTGGCTTTCTTCTTCAGCATTGTAGGTTGAGTGAGCGCCGCCGCAGAGCGCGGGGGAGCCTCGCGCCTCACGGGCTGGCGCTCGTGGACGCGCAGTCACTGTAGCGGGAGCAATCACAAAACTGTAATTTCCTTACCAAATCTCTTCCTTTCAGTAGCGTCGCCTGCCTAACTTGGAGAACGAAAAGCAATAATTTGACAGGCGTTTTTAGGTGTCTCTTTTAGTTCTTTTTGTTTGAAAGAGTATTTGGGGAAAAATAGGGCAAACTTTTTTTTTCTTTTCTTTTTTTTGAATAAATGCCCTCTGAAAAAACTACCGCCAAACAGGCATCTCAGTAGGAACATGAAAATTATATCTTTCCCAAAAATTAGGTTGGAAAAAAAAAGTCTTTACAAAATTTAAAAAAAAAAGGCAGAGCACTCTTTTTCGGCAGTTCTGATAAGCAAGGTGTAGATCTTACATTTTTGTCCTTGCTCCCAATGAAATGGAGAAACAAAAATATAATCAGACAATACCATCTACTCATGGAATGTTGTTGTGTTAGCCAGTCTGAAAGCCCACCTTAATTTTTATATAACTGTCTTTCAGCTCTTCCTTTGACAGGGCAGGCTTTGTTCTGACTGTCCCGCTTCTGTTACACGACGCATGCGCTGCTGCACTTCTTCCGTCTCCTCTCGCTCGCCCATTGGCCTGAGTTTCCTGTGCATTTCCCCTCCCTCCTTCGTTAGATTAGGTGTATCCGCAGTGTAAATAGAGCAAGAAAACAGTATTCTGCATCTGTGGCATTTACGTAGAGTTGCAGTTGTGTACTGCTGAATATGCAGGCTTTTGTAACAATGTGATCTTTACTGATGCACTCAAGACAAGTACCCAATGTATTTTAGCTATTTTAGTAGTATTTGTTCAATAAATATGCAAGCTGTATGGTAACTGGCTTGGCTCGTCATTGCAAAGGCCTACTTTGGAATGCTTTCACTGATTCATGTTAATTCATATGCTCTCAGAGCCCCAGAAGTAGACCCAAGGGCAAATATCAAAAGAGATTGAAACAGCTCAGCCTTTCGTGCATTTTCCCTTCTGAGGGTTTTATGAGATTAGAGGCTAGGCAGTGTGGCTCATTAGGATGGTATTTGCAGAGCTGCCTCGGATACAAAGGAGAATTAAACCAAGACCCTTTTATTTCTAAACTTTTATTTTTCCCTTTCAGCGCAGTCCCGCACACCGCAAAACATTCTTTCTTACCCTTTGCCTTAAAGACCTCCTCTTTGGTCTTATTTACCCATGCCAGAAGATACCTGTCCTTGATGCTTCATGGAATATTTGCACTTACACACTTCTGTGCAAGTTACACAGAAGTGTGTAAGTGTATAAGACAAAAGGCTTACACTTGTAAATGGATAAAAATTTGAGATAAGGATTTAAGTCATGAATTCATATGTACCCAGCTACCTGGAATCTAGCAGATGAGAAGATAAGCATCACCAGAACCTTCTAGAGGGCTCTTGTGATGCTGAAACCCAACAATTCCGGGCATTTATGCTTTTCCTGTGTATGAGAAATGCCTGCGGCTCCCTCCTCATACATAAGGAGAACGAAACTTCAGCTGGGTTTACACACCAATTGTTAAATTGACAGGCTGGGTTCAGATACTTGGGTTTCACCTGAACAGAGGCTAAGGAACAGATCTCTGAGTTAGAGCCAGAGAGAGATAGGAAGGGAGCAGAAGGTAGCTTGGCCCAGCTTGGGAGTTCAGACTTTGCAGCAGGAGGGATCAGATGCTCTCTGAGAAATCTTTTGGTCTTGACACTTGTGCGCCAGGAGGGACTTTTAAATTGGGGAGTAGCTTTAGAAATAAATGCACAGCTCAGATTTTGGTTAAGTTTCTTATTTTCCCTCAATTTTTAATCTTATTAAGAGAAAGGAGCCTTAGGGCAGAACTGCCTACCAGAAAGAAAAAATCTCAGCTGCCTACCAGATAAGCAGAATTTGTTCAACCTGAAAGAAAATTTTAAAACAGAGCTACCACTACCTCTTTTGGGCATCCCACCCAGAGGTTCATACTTCTGAAGGTAAGAGAAGTCCTCCTCAGATTTAATTACTTTTCGTTTTATAAACAGTCACCATTTTCCTCACCCAAGAGACTCCCATCACCTGTATGTTATCACCGCTGTGAGGGGTTCCATGTTGCCTTCTTGCCCTTGGTAAACTAGGAACAGAGAAAGGGGATGAGGCCAGGTGACGGGGGTGGTAGCTTGGGTTGCTTTATGCCCCTCTGGATTAATCTCTTGCCACATAACAAATTACAACCACACTTGGCATCCAGAATCAACAGATCTTTCCTATCTCATAGATGCCATTGGGCAGGAATTCAGGAGCAGTTGCACAGGCTCTTTCACACATTTGCAGTTAAGAGGCCAGCAGACTGCAGTCGTCCAAAGGCTTGACCAGGGCTGTAGAATCTGCTCCCAGTGTGCCTCGCTCACATGATTGTTGGCAGGAAAACTCAGTTCCCCCAGGCACGGGCCTCTTTACAGGGCTACTTAAGTGTCCTCATGACCTCTGGCTTCCCCCAGGGTGAGTAATTCAAGAGAGCTGGGAGCAAGCCATAATACGTGTGACCTATTCTCAGAAGTCACCATCATCCATCATATTCTATTCATTAGAAGCAAGTCACTAAGTATAGCTCACATTCTCAGGGAGGGAATCAAGCTGTACCTCCTGAAGGGAGGATTATCACAGAATTTGTGGACATGTTTTAAAACCAGCACACTGTCTGAAGTTAAAGAAAGCCTCAGGGTAATTGCAGGTCGGGGGCTGGAAGTAAGAACAGCTGATACCAGACTCAGAGCTGCTGCTTTTATTGAAGACGTTTTTACAGTCCTGGAGCTCCAGAGACTGATGGCAAGTGAGGAGAGCATCCAGGAACTCAAATACTGGGGTTGTGTAGCCTCCATTTACTAATCCAAGTGCTATTAGCCCTGAAAGGAATATTTAGAAAATGTTACTGGAAACTATAAAAAATAGGGAATCTGGAATAAATGATGCCTAAAGTTCCATTCAACTCAGTGGCTTGGGTTTCATGGTGACAACTCCCTTGGTCCCCACCAAGCTTGAAATACTAGATAATTGACCAAGAACTTCACTCTAAACTTGGAGGACCTGTGTGTGAAGGTCAGCCATGGACTTGTTAAGGGTTAATAAACTACTGAAGTGGAGCTGAGAAATTGGAGCACCAGCTAGAGCCAGAGCAGGAGACCTAAACTTTGGCTAAAGACTCTGCTTTGTTTTCTCTCTAGAGGTGAAAATATCACCGTGTTGCCTTTGGGCAGAGATTGCTAACCAACAACCTGGACCAGGTATGACCTGTAGATTTGTTCCGTTTTGCTTGTGATGTGTTTTATAAAAATGTTGATTTAATTGCCAGCATTGACCAATTGAAAGAGTTCACCTGAACATTCAGGTTTTTGGTGTCTCTTGAAAAATGGGAGCTGAGTAGCAGCGCCCATCTCTGGTGAGGCACGGCCCCTCCCTCCACGATCCAGTCCTCACACTGCTGACCTCCTACTCTGTCTGTTCCGTTCATTCACATCACCTGCCTCCCTCTGTTGCCTTGTGAGTTTGCAACTTGAGTCTCCTAGTTTCAGAGGATGGGGATATGCTTATTTGCACCAACAAAGGGCCAAGGAACCATGTAAGATTTTTCTGTTTCATAGCTGGAGCACATGCAATTCTGTGAATGCCAGGAAACAGGGGCTCCTTATTTCTGGTCCCCAAACAGGGGCTGCTGTTGTTCCACCTGCACCTCTGGGTCCTCTTTTCAACTTTTCTGTTACCTTCCCCCTGTGACTGAGATCCCAAAGCTAAAACATCTTGGACTGGGTCAGATTAGGCTACATATGGGTCTGACAAATGCATGGTTTTCAAATCAGAGTATGAATACCTCAGGGTATGTGAAGTCTTTCCAAGGAGTAGATGTTCGTAGATGGTTGTAAGGGAACTCATTTCTAGATCCTCCATGTCTACTGTATCCTTTCCTAATGTTGTTCTACTGAGGATGAGCCTGTGTTCATAATAGTCCTCTCCCCATATTATATATATATAAAAAAATAGGTCTCACACACTCCAACTCAATATTACACATTCCCCTTAAAATGACACAAAAACCCCAGATGTGGCAAACAAAGAGAAAGGTTCCTTTAATGATTAATCGTAAATCCATAGTATTTTGGGCTTTCTCTTCTTAAATACACATTCAAAGTGATATACTAGAAAACATAGAAATGAGGTGTTTGAACTCATACAGGTTTTCAGAGTTCAGTTAATATTAGTAAGGTGGAGTGATGGAATTAATGACACTTTTTATTTAATGCTCTGTCCTCATCCTCTTTCTGACTCTTGTCAAAGAATGCCTTGTTCTTAAGAGTCCTGAGAGAGGGAAGCCAAGAAAAAATCAGTAGGAGACATCAAATACCAAAAATGTCTTGGAAAATAATTGCTCACAATTATATGAACAATTATTTTCCACTATTCTCCACACTTATCCCTAGAAAAGTTCTTAACTGGGTTGAAAGTAACCTAAAAGCTAAAGCCATAGGTTTGCAATGCTGATTATTTTAAATGTAATAAGAATGCCTTCTGAAAATATCCAGTTTTTACAAGATAAAATGGATAAACCTGAAGGATAAAAAACTTTCATATATGAGTTCTTTCAGACTTGATGTGCATTAGTTTATAAAGTTTTCAACACCTGTTGCATCAAACCATAGCACGAAATATTTGTTTCAATTGTAGTCAGTTCTCATCATATTCTATCTTATAAAATAATGTCTTTTGCATAGTAACAACAAAAATACTATGTGCTGCTGGACTGATTAGCAGCCTGGACCCTTTCTATTATTAGTGGTGTTTCTGGTTTTTCTAGTAGTTCTCATTCTCCAAAGCCAAGAAGCAGCGTTCAGTAGTATCACTCAGTTTTACTAGAGATGCACCATGCCTTTCATCATTTCTTGTTGAGAAAGTGTATTGATCATTTTAATTTTATAACATTTAAACATGGAATGCTTAATTATATTAGATCTATATCATTTTAATTCTGATTGGTTTTAGTGACCAGTCTTGCAAGATATGTTTTAATTCTCATTGATTTTTTGTAGTAATCCTCAAATAGCTAGTTGAACTGAAAAAATGCAATCAAAGATTTTTTTCTGATGGAAAGTGTATCTGATTTGGCTAATTGGTTTGACACTGAAGGTTGCCAGAAAGGTTTGTGATGGACAAGTTCCGTAAGTGAGCTTAATCTGCAACTCCACAGTAATGGTAATAAAGTTAAGGCAAGAAATAAGATCAAAGCGTTTCATTAAAAAGCGTTATTTTGGCAAAAGTGTAATGAAATTAATAATATATCTGTTTTTCCTTTCATTTCTGAAGACACGTGATTTTAAAAGGTGGGTGTAGGTGAAAGTGTTATAGCATAATTAATAATCATTTGATAAACCTTAGCAAAGGTCTTTCTTCCCAGAAATTGAGAAAATGAATTATTCTAATGATGAGAACAAATCTCTCTGCAAGTCAGATGCTTTTCAATTCGTTCCTTATAAGAAAAACACGGAAGGACCTAATCAAGTTGTTAGGTGAAAGATTTAAAATGTTTTTTGATATCAGACCATTATATGAATTTTGGTATATAACACAGAAGGATTTCAAAGAATTGAATTACATTGCTGTAATAAAACATTTTCAATTCCTGTAGTTTATAGCATAAAACAAGTAAAAGAAATAGAATTGATGACAACCCCTGTCTCATTCTTGTGACAAGTCATATTCATCTACAGATACATTAGGTCACTGAAAAAATCCATCATCTCATTGAGATTCATTTTCATTATAATTTCAATTTTTGTGTTTAATAATTAGAGTAATATATTCATGTAGTTTTAATCAGTAATGTGTTCTAATAATGCTAATTCAACCACCCAGATTTTTTTTAATGCTTACAGTTTTATGGTCACAGAAAATAAAAGTTTTAAAATTTAGATACATTTTTATTGAAGGTCAATGTGATAGTGATCAATAAAGTCTTTTCAAACAAAAATCATATTAACATAAAAATTTTAGAGGGAACTAGAATAAAAATTTTAGTTCATGGAAAAAAAAAGTCAAATTTCTGTAAGTTAAAGAATTGTTTGTTCTTAAAAATGAAATAATGGATTATTAGTGACCATGGAGTCTATATTGGATTGTGTACATTTACAAAAGAAATACAACTTTTATTTTAAAATGGAAACATGTACAATATGCTCCAAATTATAACCCTGGAACGTATTTAAACTTATGATGAAACACTTTGCTATTAGCTTAAAAATTACATGATAGAAATAATCTATTAAGAGTCTCTCTTTCTTAGAACAAAAATGTTTTAAGATCCGTGAGTTAGACAACCACCAATGTGCTGTGCTTTGAGGAACTCACTTTCAGCCTGAAATACTTCTCATCCAGCCACAATGCCTGAATTCTCCCATTGTTCTTCTGATGGAAGAAGCCTGGAAGTTTTCTGGCCATGAACTTAGTGCACCATAGTAGTGAACAAAGCAGTAGTGAATTTTGATAGGGAAGGGAAAGAAAGAGCCAGTCTCCGGATCGGTGTATGGTCCACTGAGGCCCTGACTATGCAGGGAAATGGCAGGAGGGAGATCCCAGAGATCAGTCTTCCTGGGCTGCGAATTTGATAAGTCCTGGTAATTGAATAATGCTTCTTAGAGCCTTTACTTCATTCCCCTACAAGGTCACATCTCTTTAGTTCTATTCCTTGTATTCCAGATTCTTTGAAACACTTCATTATATCTCAATCCAGTAAATCCAGAAGGGCAAGGTCAGTGGTGGTAGGAGAAGGGGGCCCAGGCCCATGAGAGCAGTGGGATTACACAGCAGGCCCCCAACCCTCGAGAACTGAGACCCCAGCACTCCTGGAGAAAAGCCCCTAAAGCAGCAGGCAACTCGTGCATCAGGGCACAAAAGGGGGGGCCGTCGTCTCTTGCATGTGTCCATCAGGCTTGCCTCCGAGCATAACTACACAGAAGCAGTACAAAACTGATCCATTCCCTCACACAATGCCCAGTGCCATTAATGCACAGCTTAGCTATTTCACTGAGAGACCCATGTGGCTACGTGAAAGCCTCGTGGAATAGAGAATTTTAGGAATGCATTAATTTGCTGATGCCTTCAAGTTGGGCAGCTTTAATCATTAGTTGGCACCATTCTGAGCCTAATACTTCTATTACTTTCCACCCACCCTTTGGTCCTAGGGTTTTGGTTCTCAGGGTTACAGAGACTAAGTGAGTTATTTCTCCCACACGGCAGCCTTTCCTTTCCTGCTCCCTTTGCCTTTTTCCTTTCCAGGCTGAACTGCCTCAGTTTCTTTAGCCAATTTCCCTGTGATCTGTTTTCTAGAGCTTTCACCATCTCTTTTACCCTCTTACAAGAACTTTTGCTTGTGGCTGACCCAGCTCCTTCTTAAACCGGGTAGCCAAGGTCTGGGAAGGATCAAGGGAAGAGGCCGCCATGAGGGACACACTGCATGGCGTGCTGGCCGTCTCAGTGTCCTGTGGCATGGCTCAGGGTGGGAGTCCCATTACTGTCCCCACAGCAGCTGCGGGGCCCCATGCGCTCTGCTCCTGGACACCTGGGACAGCCCGTGTCCCCAGCCAGGGCTCCACACGCCCTTCACTACAGGCCACTCCCAAGATCCCTGAGAAGGAGGGAGACAGTCACGTCTTTCCTCGGAGATCATTGGCCTCCTCCTGCTCCCTCCTCTCCCTGGGCTGTTTATGCCAAAGGTGCCAGATACCTGGGAGAGGGGAGCAAGCCAGGGTGCCTCCTCAGGTCTCTTTAGAGGCCCTCTCCCTGTCTCACTCCTTAACATCCCAAAGCTGGTTTCTGAAAAGCAAATGTTCCCTGCAGAGCTGAGGGCCGCAGCTTTCTAGGAGAGCAGGGTGACTGGGACGCTGTAATTTGTCATTAACAGCTAGGATCTGCTTTGTCAGATGTGATAATGCGGGAGCATTTGATGTGAGTGCTTGTGGAGGATAAACTAGCTCAGAGGGACATTTAAAAAGCATGGCAGCAGCTCCTGGGAAGAGTGTGAAAAATAGCCGTTTGCTCATTGTGTGTGTAGAACACTTGAGGGGCCATCACTTATATCACTTCACATGTGGCCCCTCTGCAGCCATGTGAGGTCAGAATCATTAGCTCAGCTGCGGGATAATTAGTTGCCCAGAGTGAAATCTCTTGTCTAAGATGGCAGAGCCTTTTCCTT